GCTCCGTTAGAGTCAGTTCGATTTTAGTGTTTTCACTGTCCGAGGACTGAGGTGTTTTGTCCATCCGGGATGCCATCAGGGCATTTTGGTACTGCTGTCTTGAGATCTGCTCCAAGAACAGAAGGGAGGAACAACAACAGCCAGTCACGCTTTTGTGTCTCCCATAGGACACACTGAGAAAATAAAGTGCCCTCCCTTTCCAGATGATCACATTTCAACCCCTGTTTACCTGTTTCCATAAAACATTCCTGCGCTTTGCAAGACTAGAGCATCCCAGCTCCACACCACAGCACGGTGACATTTCTAGACAGGGTGGAAGCACAGAGCTGTGCCATCACCATGCTGTTCAAAGGCAGGGATTTACTCCTATGCAGAGATTTTTAAATCAGATCTCCATTTCCTTCTAACCATGCACATTTTTAGGGCCAGAACCAGAGCTCAGTGAAGTCTTTCTCCCAACTTCAGCGAGCTCCTGGTGAGGCTCTAAGGGTCCCTATAGAGCCAGAGGGTACAAGCATTATTGCTCTTGTTGAGGCCAGTAAATGCAGCAGGAGCTACAGCCTTATTCTGATATATAAGGACATTTGATTCTAGAAAAGACTGGGATCTCCAGAGAGATGAGTCCAAATTAGCACCCCATGAAGTCTTCCACTGGTCTCTGCCAGAGCTGGTGGCACTCAGCAGAAGAGCCGTGACAGGAGCTGGCCTACAGCACAGTGTTACTGCCCAAGAAGCCTATAGCTCCGTATATCTGCATATGGTGGTAGAGGGGAGAATTTCTCCTGGAGCCACAAGCAACCAGCCCTGTAAACTCCTCCAGGTCAGCCTTCTCAGCCAGGACAGGCAGCAGGATGCACGTGCGCTGGCAGCACCGTGTGCTACAACAGCAGTGGGTTATCTCAGCAGGCAGGAAGGTGGAAAATGCAAGAGAGGGACTGGAAATGGAGAGAGTCAGATGGACCACGTCACAACTCCAGAAGGAAAATCCAAACATGCACGAGCAGGTCACAACGCTGGTTTACAAGGTATTAATTGAATAAATGCCCACATAGCACAGTGAAAACACTAATGTTGAGTACTCTGTCCTATGTGTAAAGCAGAGTGATGCAAAAAGAGGTGTGCAAGTCTGACTGCAGAGACACCAGACAGTTTAGCATTCATTAGCCTCAGTATGAACACAGTGAGAGTTGGAAGGACTCCACATAAACCAGCATAAGATGAGCAGCTGTTCTGTACAGCAGATTGGCTACTGAAATCTGTAGTGAGACTCACTTGCCCAGTAATAAATATTTACTGATCTAAACCTTGAAGGCTTGAACCATTGACCAGTACACGTACATCTGTCACATTTCAAATGCAAGACTGTTCTCCTTTTAAAATTTGGCTACCGAATAACTGATTTAGCATTCTAGTATTTCTACTCTATTCCACACTCCTAATATCAAATTAACTTTGACAGAAGTTGAGTTCACAAATCGTTTCAGTTGCATACAAAGAAACCATGAACGTGCACTTAATTTAAGAAAAGCATCAAGGTCAATTTCTGGCCATGGGACGTCAGCTTCCCTGGACTCCCAGCTGGGCTGGAATTGCTGCCAGCATTAGCTTTTCCTCAGCTCAACTAGATTTCCTATCCCACAGGACTCGCACACATTTCAGCGTGTGATGCACCATGCTGGGGGACAGAGCTGTATTCATGCAGCAACTCACTGGTAGTATGAGACATGAGCCTAACATGTGAAGTTAAGATAAAGAGAAATGTCCAAGACTTCTCCAAGCAGAAGGATGGCAGCTCAGAAAGTAAGATCAAGAACCCCAAACTGAAACCAAAATCAAAAGTGAATAAAATCTGCAACCAACAAAAGACATCTTATCCTTTAGAAAAGGACACTGTCTGATAATGAAGGGTCTCCATTTGGATGGCTCCAAGGACTTCACAAGGATACGTCTTTCATGACTAAAAGCAGAAAGAGGTTATTTTCCACAGTCTTTCCTTGAGGGACCTGAAATCCAGAAACTTATGTGACCAATCTACTTACAGGACTAAATAAGAGGAACAGTGACGACAAATCAATGGGCAACAGATATTGGGAAAAAGTAATTTAAAGTGACATTTAAACGGCTGCTTTCATAATCCTATTCACTCAGAGAGCAATCTAGAAGGATGACCTCCCTGCCCCAGGCTCTCCATCCTACCAGCCAAGCCCAGCTTTCCAGTGGGGCCTTTCCAGCCTTTTTCCTACCTTGACAAACTGAATGTCTGTGAGTGCTTTCACTGAGTAGTCCGGAACATACACTTGGAGGAAAGATGCATTCAGCTGGTTGTTGCTGCTCCCTAACGTCGGTGTCACTGCATCGATGCGATCACTTCGGTTTAAAGAGTCTGAGTGATTCAAGCCGCAGGGCCGAGGTGGAGACTTGTTTTCAGCTGAGGAACGAGCAAGAGCAAGAGATTTCATAAATCAAGTAGAAAACATTTAAAGTCACCAGTTTCAAAGGGACATAATAAGTGGTGATGTGGCACAAACTGCAAATATTTAATCCACTCATAACTAGACATGCAGCAAATTACCAAATTACAACCACCAAATTACCCTGAAAAAGAGTACATTTTGAGTCCAGAGCTGGTAGCCGACATCACTGAGTATGCCTTAAACAAACCTGGTTTTGTTTATGCTGCAATGGACATGTCCTGTGCACAGTTGGTCACAGTGCTTCAGCTGATGAGTGGTAACCACCAGAGAAGGATAATTTCCCAAGACTCCCTTACAGAAGCTCTCGATAGTCAGATCACGCTTAATAGATGATTATTTTTTTTTCCTTAATGATTTATAATCGTAACTGCATACCAGAGCTTTCATCCAGTCTGTCCCAACTAACCCTTACCCTGTTTTATTCCACCTGGTACCTACATATGCCTTGTTCCCTGAATTAGAGCAGACATTTTCAAAATCGTAAGAGTGACAGAGTCCTCAGTGGACCATAGTGCAGTCCACATGACGATTACTTCATCGTTTCCTCTAGTACCTCCCAGTACCTGAAGGGGCAAAAACTCAATGCAGGAGAACAAGCTCCATGTGGTACGTGCAAGCCAGCAAAAGAGGGGAAAACAGTCCATGCTACGAAGAAAAAAATCTGTATCCAGGAAAGGAGTAAACTAGAGACATCATTTCCCATCACTGGCCTTTAAGCACTGCAGGGTTTCACTTGAAAACCTCACAGCTGTCCCCTGCGAGTGTGATTGGCCACAGTTTATCTCAAGCAAACGTGCTTTCAGGAAGCAACAGACATTTTGTATCCCTAGCTTCCACCCACACAGTGACCCAGAAGACAGGAGGGCAGAAACGCATCCTAAGAGAGGGCCTAAGCCCTCCTGCAGATGGGCTTCTCCTGGGGTGCACACGCAGTATGTACTGATCAAAGAACTGTCTTTGGGACTGGTGAATTTTAGGATCTTAGTGCAGTTAAATTTCAGTCAGCCAGCCCACACTGAAACTTGATGTAGACTATGTTACTCACCATGTGACCCCCATTCTCAGCTGAAAGATCATTTTCATGTAATCTTAAGATAGAGAGCCTCTTCGAGCAAATCAGCAACAGTATCCTTGCAAGCTTTGCTAATTCTTCCTTGAAGACTTTTCTATAAACATACCTCTAAAAAAAACCCCAAACGTCCCTAAAATTCAACTCTACCTCTGCCACTTCATCACTATAAATATAATCTTTCTTTGCCCAAATGACACAGCCTGTTCTATACCTCTGCGTCCAGCCTTACCCAAACCTAACACTTTAGATGCTTCAAGACACATGGCAGAATGGCCCCATTTTTTATTTCCCACTTAAAATCCCTCTGATGTTGTCTTTCTCTTTTCTAAAATTGAAGGAACAGAAAAATACAGGTTCTGACAACTTGGCAATTTTTCTGCCATTTCTGCACTAAGGACTTAGTGCAGGTCCCTATGGCAACACCAAGTACAGGCTTAGGGGGAAGCACTAAGAGCCCTGCAAGGTTTTCCTCCGTAATGACTTGCCATCTTGAAAGCCACAGCAGGCTGCAAGAACTGCTGCCAGGCGCCAAACCTTTATCTGCACACAGGGCTTGATGCTGTAATTCAACAAGGAACTGTGAAGGCTGAGTGAATTTGTCCTGTCTTTCCCACCTGCATACACAAAATATGGCTGTGTGCAACAAGAACAGCATCGCTGCTGCTCAGGATGAAGGTTTCCATCTGGAACAGCTTTACACTGGTGAGACTTGTATCTGCCCTTTCTTTTCACTAAAGGTCTTATAGTACATTACTAATAAAAAAAGAAGGAAAGAGAGAGCAACATGAAAAAGCATATATTAAAAAACAAACAAACAAACAAAGGGACAGGTGAAACGAAAGGACAGAAGAAAAAAGTATGATTACTGAAAATCTGAAGGAGAGGACATCACTTCTGGACCACGTACAAGTCAGGGAGAGAGAGGAGAAGTTAATCAAGAAGGAACGATACAGAAAGGGCAGATGGCAGTAGAATACCAGGCAGGTCCGTGTTTGCAGAACAGTGCCCTGCCAGCCCCCTAGCAGGCCAGCCCAGACCTGGACAGATCTTTTCTACCCAGGTTTTCCTATACTCCTTACCTTCCTATACAGGGGATAGAGAGCACAAACCACAAGACACACATCAGTACAATTTTATTATGAATTTGGGGTTAAGCAACAGGATCCTTTTTAGAAGGAGCCAGCAGAAGGTCTGAGTTTCATCAAAACTGGTAGCACACTGTCATAGGGACCAGGCTTACCATATCAGTTCCTTTCAAAGGAGATTCTTCCCATTATTTTCCATTATTGATTTTATTATTTTTTGTTGGGGAAAAAGCTAGGAAAATATGCTTGGCATTTATATTGGAAACAACTTGCATGTGCAAAGTGTACGCTTATTTCTAGCAAGGAAAAGAAAAAAAAAAAAAAGAAGACCCGGCAAAACAAAAGAACTAAGCTAAAAAAGATAATCAAAGCTGCTGAGCTTAAAAGAAAGCCATCAGGTACTTTAATTAAAGCAAGATTAAATTTCTCCCCCTTCTTTGAAGTTTAGCAGCAGGAAACTTTAACGGGGCAAGAAAAAAATCCCCTGCAGGGCAACAACCTGTAGTTTGTTTGGAATGTGCATGAGGCTAATTTAAGGACTGATGGCGAAATACATTTTCAAAAGTGAAAAAAGAAGAGGGGGAAAATACAGGAAGCAGATGGTGAAAGTTTATGAAAAGCATGCTATGTATTAATGTTTAGGAGATGTTTCACTTAAATATGCATATCATTATCCTGTTTGCTTTTAGGTCT